ATTAATTAGATTATAAAATATATATATTTAAAGTTTTATCTTAATTAAATTATTATTTATTAAATTATAATAAAAAAGATCAGTGCCATTATTTTTTTTACACATTATATTTTCAAAAATCAAAAAAATAGTTTTTATTTATAATATAAATTCAAATTTTTATAAATAAATTACAAAAAATATGACAATAAAAATTAACATTTTTTATATAAATTAGAATTGTTTGAAATCAATATTTAAATAATTTTTTTAGTTTTAAAAATTAATCTATAAGTACTTGAAAATTTGGTTCTTATAAAATAAAGTTAAATACTGTTATAACATAATTCTTATTTTTAAATATTATTAGAAAACCTTTTATTCAAATATTTAAAAAAATAAATCATAAATCTATTTTTATTAATTTTTCAGGTAAATTTTCCTGGAAATATTTATGGATTAAGAGATAACATCATGATTTTTAATTATTACTATATGTTTTTATTATATTTTATTTATATTTTATTATTATTATTTTATTTAATCATTTTATATTTTTTATATCTTGTTTAATTAATTATTATTAATTATTATTATTATTTTTCTTTTACTTATGTTATATTGTATGCGTACTTTATTTAATTTGTATTTTACTTAATGATTTTGTTTTATTTTTATTTTATTTAATGATTTTATATTATATATTTTTTAATAATATTTTATTTTATTTATCGTATATTATATTATTTTAATTAATTATTTTACTTCTAATTATTTCAATCATGTTATTTTTAATTATGTTTCAATTATTTATTTTATTTTATTGGATTATTTTATTTTACTTGAGAAAAAACGTAGGTGCGCGCGAATAACAAGTCGGAGTATTTGTGATCACGTTCTGTTGGCAAAAAAAAAGAATCGAATTAAAAATCACATCAATTATCAAAGTTATATGACTTACGGTCATTGTTAATAAAATCAGATCTTTTATTTTTTATTTTCGCACAAAAATAGACTCGTAGACATTTTGCAATAAATGGATTCTCGTAACTTGATGACTTACTTAATCAATCAATACCAAAAAGTAAAATTTAAGTTTTACGAAAATACTTTTTTTAATGCATGCCGTTATTTAGATAAACTTTCTAATGACCAATTTGATACGCGTGAATGACACTAATTATTTATCTATACATACAGCGTATCTTATCTATACTCGGACAATGTGATGGGCGATCTTTTGAGAAACCTCCTGGAAAGTTTAAACTTCCATTGTTATTTATAGATGAAAGAAACCCTCGTGAGATTAAGGAGCATGAAGATGTCATAACAAAAAGATCAAAGAGATAATCGTAAATCAATTTCATATCTGGTTAACTGGATGCTTTAAATAACGTGGCAGTGCACGCACGTCATAGTGTAAGACTATGAGGGTGCTGCAAGAATTAAAGAATTCCAAAAGAATAGGAGAATGGACCACCATTATCCAAGATAATTTTCCCAGAAACGCACGATACTCGTAACAAATAAATAAATAAGCAAATGATTATTTTCTTTCTTTTAAGGAAAAGGGGAAACTTCCATTTTTATCATACAGAATGAAACATCGTTCAGACAATGCGCCTTATCAGCCATGCACCATAGACACTGTAAACACAAGAATGATGTAATATTTAGCCAACTCCCTTGGGTCCTTCTCGCAGACAAACATGTGCATCTGGATTTCAGGAATGATTTTCTGATGGCGTGAATGTTGTTGTTTAAAATGTACATAAATACAAATTTACCTTTTCGAAAAAATAATATGTCAGAGGTCAATGCAAACGAAGATTCTTTTAGGCTGTAGATGAGATCGTGGAAAACAAAAATGGTATGGAAACATTGATTATACAGTATATGTTCTTATGTAAATTCCGGAATAACAAGAACCGTGCATTATCATGCATCAATAGGCAAAAATGCAATTCTCATACGTGTCATCTTCCTAAGATGAAGTCACCCCTCGTCACCTTCCAACATTCTCGAATAAAACTCACCTCTGTATTACCAGTGAGCCTAGTTTTTTTGGACAGAAGAAACCAAAACATGGTCTGAAACTGGAGCAAGATTACTTACCAAAAGTGAAATCTTGATCTGTGAAACATGCGGACTCCAAAAAAAGCAATTAATAATGAAATAAAGTATATTATCAAATGAAAATACAATAATAATTTCAAATAAACTAAAATTTATATTTTAACTTTTTTTACAAAAAAAGTTAATCATAAAACTTTGAAATTTTCCATCTAAAAAACATATGTATACATACTGTATATACTGTACATGTATATACAGTAGCAAATACATACAGTATTATACCGTACAATATATGATTTTGAACAGAAATTTTCGAATATTAATTGTGACTCTCGATTGCATTACTGTATGTATCATTTAAAAATAGCAATCGTACTCATCGTTTTTATTAACTTTGAAAGCAAAAATGATTGATCAATGGAATATGAAAATTATCTTAAAAGTATACTTTTTTTAAAACAAAATGCAACATCATGTATACATACGCACATACACGAGATGATGGTTTAATCAATAATCTTTTTTAATATTTTGAAAATAGCGGTGTAAATTTTTGTATTGACAAAAAAAAAAACAAAATATACTTTTTATTATTTATTTATTTACGGTTAGTTATTTGTATTTTGAAAACTTTAAAAAACAAGTGTTTGTTTTTGTTGGTTTTGTTCGGATGTTTACAAAAGGATTTATCGTCTCATGATCGATGATTCTAAAAAATAACAATAATAAATAGATACGAACAATACTAAACATCTTTTGACATTCACATGGCCAGTCAACATTTCATTTGACGCACACAACTGTCGAATTGGCCCTAACCGAATGGATCCAATTCGTTTTTCCGTTCTCGGTTCGAAACAACGCTTGGCAGAACATTTCAACGGTACTTGCAACATTCTCAACACCTTACCCAAAAAGGGAGTTGGCTTGGGCTGACGCGAGGACCCATCCCTCCACAGGATTTATCATTACCAAATTTGTAATGCGATTTTATTTTAACGAGGATTTCCAAGTTCAAAGAATAGTCAAACACAATTGTTTTCCGATTAGAACACCAATTATCATTCGACTTTCCCTTTAACATTACGTATTCCGTCTCGAAATTCCATCACTTCATATTCGTTGCAACACTTTTTTTTTTTTTTCACTTGTGCACCGCCAAAATTTTAATATTTGATCGCCCTTCAAGGCTGAACTTTTTTTTTTTAATAAAATATGGATATTTTTTTTCTTATATAATTTTTTCAATATACGCATGGATATTTTACATAGGGTACATATATTTATAGTTTTCTAAAAAAAAAAATGGGAGAAAGTGGATTTCTATATTCGAACATTTTTGGGAGGGATGAGGTGTTTTCTAATACAGGATAAATAAATACATAAGCGAATAATTTTTTTTTCTTTCTTTTTTGAGTAATGTATGTCTAACTTTGCGCGGTCGCGTCGAAACGCGCGATTTTGGGAATTTTGAAAACGAGAAAAAAAAAAAAAATTAATATTAAACATGCAATTTTTAAAATTAATAGAGATCAATTGTCTTAAACCTCCAATATGATAACTTTTTTTCTTTATTCCAGCTCGAAATATCAGTTCGCGCGACGTCGTCGCGCAACATTGATGTTTAGGCCACTTTCCAACAACATCAAACACTGATCTCGTCAAGTGATTTTGTGCGGGTTGATTCGATTTCCATGAAAAGTATGGTGACACGTCGAGCGAGAAAAAAAGGAAGTAAAAAATGTGGTGCACACTGTGCTTTTTTTTGGTTTTCTCACTCGAGAACTCCAGATCTTTCACATAATTGTAATGGTCAAAATATAGAGAAAATTGATGGCGATGAAAAAATAATAAAGTGTTATTGATAATCTTTCAGTGTTAATGATGCTTGTTTGTTTTTTTGCTTGCTTGCTTGTCTGTGTTGGATTCGAGCCTGAAAACTTTGGGAATTACGGAGTGTGATGATGATACAAATTGCATGCTTCAAAAGTGAACGCACGATCCGCATTCCGTAAAAAGTGATCACCGGAATCCTCGAGATCGGAGAATTTCACACGGTCAAGGTTGTTAATTGACTCTCGTTTCCTCCGACAGGCAATTCGCGGACCTTTATGTTCGAAGGACACCTCTGAAATGCGTTGCTGCAAGTCCTTCCGGAATATTTAAATTGTTCTTTGAGAACAAATAAAGAAACATCGTCGTCTCCACCACCATTATTGCCATCGTCGTCGTGGCGACTAAATTCGTAGACGGTGTTTCGTTTTTGATGTTTTGTCGCCATCTTGCCCATTTTTGACAATCTCAATTTGTTAAGCTTCAACGACATCGCTTTCCTCAGGGAAGATTTATTGGAAATTACGTCCCCATCAGGATCAGCGAGAGTTGTGGACGAGGACAGCGAAGAGTTTGACGAGGTTGATGAACTTCTTACGAGCGTGCTGGTGCTATTGGTACTAATGCTTGAGATACTTGAATTACTAGCTCTCCTCCTCTTACGTGCCAACGGCAAGTCCTTTACCACCAATTCGTTCAGGTCCTCGTCATAGATCGTGAGCACCTTTGTTGACGAATAGGAAGGCCGATACCTCACGACGACCTGTGACTCGGTCTGATATTTTGTAACGATGGCGAGCTTCTTGTCGACAGCGGAATTTGACTGAGATTCCAAGGTTGAACCACCAGCGTTTGAACGCGAATATCTCCGATTAATCCCGTAAACCCTGGTCTTGTAGCACCTCAGTTCCTCGCGTTGAAATTCCGAAAATTCGTAGGTACACGAAAGCTTTGTTATGGTGCCATTCAACATAATCATCTGAAATAGGGGTTTCGGCACTCTTCCGGGACGCATCTTCCTCAGGGTTCTCACGTAGGCAAAGTGTTCGACCGATCCACGTACGATGTGTGTATCCTTCAGACAATTTTTCTTCATGCCAACCGCCTGCTCGGTGGAACCTACGGGTGAGGTTGGAAGGGAAGTGTAAATACCATTTTCCTCGAGGATTACCGAGGGCATGTCCGATAAGATCAAATCATCTTTATCGATGAGTTCTTCTTCGACCCAGATCGCATCGTCCATGAAGGAATCACTGTGTCGACACTTCTTGTTGGGATCATTGTGCGCAAACAATTTCGAACTTGGAAAGGATCTCGAGGCCTTGAATGAGGAGGGTTTCTTTGTTGAATCAGTGCTCTTTGATTGATCCACACGTAGGACTTGAGTCTTGATCCACCTGACGAAATTCGTCAACGACGACGGTGAAGAAGTGGAACCTTCCGACAGATTTTTTGATGACATGATTATGATGATTTACTCGTTAGAAGGAAAAGAAAAGTGAAGAGCGGAAGGGTATATATAAAGGAATCAACGATTGCTTCTATTTGTGCGAATGAGTAATGTTCCTGACGGATCAGCTGAGCGTAGGTGATCCAAGATTATCGGAAAGAGTATAAAAAGGCCAAAGGCAATTATGACAATTATGCTCGAATATTTATTGAAGTCTGGCGAAATTTTTTATGTGACCAAGGTAGTTTGATAAATGGGAAAAAATGGCGTTGTGGAATTGATCAAATGGAAGATTTTGGGAAAAAAAATAAAATAAAATAAAATAAATAAATAAATAAATAGATAGATAATAAAAAAAAAAATAAAATAAAAATAACGTAGAGATAAGATAGCGCGCCAAATATTAATATTCGTTTGATCAACCTTTAAGTAATAAAATCAAATTACGAAATAGACGAGTCTTACCTTGATAAGCAAAGAGTTTGATAGAGAGTCAAATAAAACGTTTGAAGAATATCGGCGTTTCGAATCGAGGAGACGAATGAGGTGAGGTGTGATTGGAAAGTAGTAAAAAAATTGAAATCTTTTAGTATATGAATAAATAGAATCACTCAATCATTATTTTTAATTAAAGTACCCACAAATTAAAAATACAAAGGGTTATCGGGAGGGGAGGTCGTTATATAGTATATGGTTATTTATATATGTATGTGTGTTAACTAAATATATATTGCAATTTCTATGAATAGACTTGGCTGGGGGTTTTTTTTTTTTTTTACAAGAAAAAAAAAATAAAAAAGAGGTGAAATGAAATAATCCTCCAAAAGTTTTTCGGTTAGTTTTGCCGGCAAAAGGGACAATACTTGCTTTGTTGATGGGGGGAATTTTTGAAGGGGAGAGAAAAGAAAAGGCAAGCAAGCGAGCACTTTAAACACCTTTAATGGCCAAAAGTCAATAGTTTTTTTCCAGTTGAAACTCGACGACGGAATGTGCGCTGTTCAGAGGTGTGCTCGCCACGATTTGAAAGGGAAGAAAAAAAAGGAAAAAGAAATTATTAGTTATTATTATTTAAGTCGAGGGAAGGAACCAGAAGTTTATCTGGATTTTCTAAACTCGAGTGAAAGAAAAATAAAAAGGTATACAGTTTTATTTATACGGTTCCAATAGAAAATTGAACGACCTAACCTGACCGAATAGAAAGATACTTTACGGAACATGCGTAATAGTAAGTGGCGCATTATTTGATGACATAGTGATTTATGATAAGGTAAAATGAAAATGGCTTGACCGAGGGAAAATTTTTTTTTTTCATATTTGATGGGGGAGAGAAACTTGAAAAAAAAAAAAAAATTGTAACACGGCACGGTCTGTACACCGCAATTAAAAATAAAAATGCAGTGATATTTTCAGAAGACACAATAGACCACTATGCATTATCGTTATTATTGTATATCATTATCATAATTACAATCATCATACGTGTTCTACGTAGTAGATAATTTAAGTGCATGGGAACCGAGGAAACGGGAAAATCAAATCGAAAAATCAAAAAGTCCAAATACAGTATACGTTGTAGGAATTCTAGAAGGATAATCGTAACACCACCCAATGTCATGTCGTCGACATCATCAATGAGTAATGAATGTATTCGTCCTTAATTATCATTATTATCATATTATTTTAAAAGGATCGTGATATAGGTGAAAGAGAGGAATGTATACATATAACATTTATTTATGGTATAAGTGGGAAAATTTTGTTTGACATGTAGGAGAGTTTGGGCCCCGATGCGCAGGGATAATAATGACATGACACTATCAGCACTGCAAAAATATGATTAAGTAAATTTGGACTAATAATAATCTCATGGACAGACGCTTTCCAAGTATTGTATATACATTTCCGTGAACAGAATGCACGACCTCCCTTCTTACCTTACTTTTTACTACTATGTATTGTACGTATCACCTATCAAACGGGTTAACGAATTAACGAATTAAATTGTTCCTTCCTTACTTTATTGTCTATCATGTTTTACATATCCTCATTGAAAAAAAAAAATGCTGGTTGTTGGTTTAATGCCGTTCATTTTCCTTTAAGGAAAATCTGTGCTCAACCACTCGCTTGCCGGCATCTCTTGCATCAACCAAGTGTGGTAAGTCTCAAATCAAAATCATACGTGTTGATCTTTTTCTAACACGTTTGACAACTACACAAATCGAGTCTCAGAAATTGGTGTCGGGCATATGTGAAATTCTTATATATATATATATATATAATCTGAAACATAGGCGAAGAATCGGTAAGAACGCTGGTTGTTACTCTCATGTTCTTTGACAATAAAGAAAAAATTGGATGCATGAAAGTGTTTAAATTGCGAATTTTCGTGAATGCCGTGTTTGAACTCTCGTGGATGATCTCTTTTTTTTTTTTCTTTATTGAATAGGTGCTCACATCAACTCCTTGTCCAAATACGCCTTGCATATTCATCCACCTATCCATCTCTATGTATACGTACGTACATATATACGGTATAAGCGCAAATTTGCGCTTACATGAGTGTACACGTATGTACGGCAATGTCGCATGCGCGAACAAGATATGTCGTGATTATACAATAGGTTTAACAGTAGATTACTAATGACGTTCCTTTGTGACGCTAAAATTATCACTACAGCACCTTACAGGTACGTAATTACGTATTGATCGTCGTTTGTTACTTAACTCTTCGGAAAGATGTCGGGAAGAGTCGAAGGAGCTACACTCCACCTATAAAATACAAGATTTATTATTATTATTTACTGTACTTATTTTTTTTTTAAAAAAAAACAAATTCCACGTGATAATATTCTAGATCTCTCGGAAATCACTCATGCAGAAAAACCGGAATCGATAAGATTTTTAGGTAATTTGGACCCCGGATCCTTGGAATAGACCCTTGAAGTGCATGCATCGTGAAGCTAAATGAAGCTAGCTCGCTGTTGTAATTGTCGATGCCTTTTATGATTTTAGTTAGATCTTTCTTCAATTGTAAGCGTGATTTCATAGTTCACAAATCTTTTAATAAAATAATCTAAAACTCTTTAATTAAGGCGACTCCTAACCCTTAATTAAATTTAAACTTTCGGAAATCATATTATTGGTTGTCAACAAATCTCTTTTTTTTGCCACCCCCGCAATTCGACATCATAACGAGAAGTTTATCATTTTTTTATCCGATTAGCTATCTTTTTTTTAAGAAATCATCGTCACCGGAGATCGTCATTTGTCATTAGTCACCTTGAACCTCATATTTATTTACGTAGGCACAAATTTGTCAAACCAAGAATCGCTACGCCAAACGATTCGGGTAATTGACATCAATTAATATAACTTTATCGTCTCCCATCGACTGTAAAGAAATTTTACGCAATGAGTTCCCATCAAAATGTTTATTGTGTCAACTTATCAAAATTTAAATATCAATATAAGTTTGTCAGATTGTTAGAAAAATCAGTATACGCGACTCAATCACACTAAATTGAAAGTCAAAATAATGAATTATAGTGGTGGCTAGACTTTCGTTCTCATTTATTCTCAAGCTGATGAATTGCCGAACCAAATCTTCTAGAATTATTCGATTTTTGATTGATGAACCCTAAATTAATTTAGGTGGCTTTATTAATTTTGGATTTCAAAAAGGAAAAAAGGTTGAAAATCGATCTCCTATGGCCATCATCGTTTGAACGATGGTTTGCGATCAGTACCTAGCCTCGTTCCTTATCCTCCCTTAAAGGTCTAGTGAACGGATGGATAGAAGAAACAATGAGATTGAAACGCTCATTGTAGAGGTTGATTATACGATTAACTAATTAATTGTAAAAAAAAAAAAAACAAAAAAAACAGATGTGTGTAGTTAATCGAATCATTCTTTTGATGGAACCTGTGAAATCATGGCTCGATGGAACTATCATAAGGGCGTCCATATGTACATCCCATCACATGCCAATAATAAAGAATAAACCATTTGATAAATCGTAAAACCGGTTCAACCAAGTCACAGGAAATCATTATGTTTTCTAAAAGAGATGATTCAATGTCAAACATAGGAATTTATTATCAAAGATGACACCAGTTCAAAAATGACTGCGTACGGTCGCACATTCATTACACCCGTTCGTTTGCATTTGTGCGCCGTGAGGTTGCATTCATTGCTCCTTTGACTCCATACCAAGTCAAATTAAAGCCAAAGAACGACCAATAGATTGTCGATCTTTTATTGTTTGGTAGATTATCCATTTGTGTTGGTCTGTGACTCTTTGTTTTTCATGTATAGATGACCCTCATATTTCCTTACCATCCGGCGACTTTTAAATTCCTCTTTTAACCATACCCATGCGAGCCTTATCGAGATTAATCGGTAACAACAAATAAGTCAAATTAGAAAGGTTTTTCAACAAAGCTTCCTGGAATAAATAATGAAACAATTCGGCTAGTGACAGCTTATTATCTAACGTCGCGGAAGTCATGCAACCTAACGCCCGAACAACTGAATTTCCTGTTTTCCGAGCACTACCCGTCAGTTCGTCTAGCCATTTTTGTGATGGGCTGATAACCTCCCCTCATGCATGTCCACAACAAACTTTCACCAATGAAACGACCGTTATGGAAATATTATACTGTGTGTAGAAAAAAGTCCATTGTACGCTTAGTCACTACCGTTAGGAACGATTCCGTTTGTCAATGAATTGAAGGTTTCAGTTTGTTTGGTAAATCCGGTTTAGCGGCCAGGGCACAGTGCATGCGTAACCTTTCTCAATTTGTTTTTTCTTTATTAACTATACAAATTTATAATTTTTCTTTTTTTAGAAAGCATTTGATGTTTTTTTGAAATGTGCATTATATGTTTCTAAAAAGTCCATTTTGAATTTGTGAAAAATAGTTACTGAAAAAATTGTTAAAAACGTCATGGATTTTTGCAAATCAAATAATTAATTGATTATTAATAATTGAAAGGTATTATTCTCATCATTTTTTTAACTTTAACATCGCCCCATTGATATTTTAATATAGGCTACAAAACCAATTACCTTAGTAATCAACGATCACAGAGGAAATACAGTACATTGTACTGTGATAGGTGAGTTTAAAAAAAAAAAAAAGATATTGATGATAACAATTTTTTTTATTAAATACATACAATATTAAAAAACTTGTGATTTTTAACAATTGCTATCGATGTGTTGTATATATTGTACATGTATTTTTAAGATATCCGCTACTCAAATATCTTGCACGCCATTTGTAAAACATGCATAGTATATACTGTATAAATACGATTCTTTTCGATCTAGAATTTAATTTAATTTAATTTCAAGTTTTACATTAAAGCAGACAAATCAATATAATTCAGGATGATGATTATTAAGCAGTATATGCGAGTTTACACAAACTTATATATAATTCTAAAAAAATAAGGTGTTATCTTACAATATATCATGTACTAAATACAAAAAAAAAAAAAATTACGTGCGTATTTAATACTGTAAATAAAAAATCATAACAGGAAAATACCTATTACAATTTTTAATTACATTCTATAAAAAACAAAAATATATTGATAAATATTGATTTATCAAAAAATAATATAATTTTTTAAATTAAGATATTTTTAAAATTAGAAAAAAAATTAAATGATTAAATATACAAGTTTTTTTAACAAAAAAAAATTTTTTATTAAAATAGTGTTTATTATTGTAATATAATCAAATTATCAAATTTTAATATTAATAAATTCAAACAAAAAACATCACATCAATATTTATTATAGTTATACAAATATACTGTAAATTATAACAAATATATACAGTATATATATATTTAATTTAAATAATAAAAATATTTAATTTTCTTATATTGATAATTACATACATAAAAAAACTTGTAATATTAAATTTGATTTTTTTTTTTTTTTGTAATATTGAATAATCTAATAATATAAATATTGTAAATTTGAATATGTATATATTTGTTATATTAAAATATTTATATTAATTTATATTATTAAACTATTCTAAAAAGGATATAAAATTAAACTTTGTTTTTTAAAAGATTTTTGATAATAAAAATTTATTCTGACGTAATTAAAAAATATAAATTGATATAAGAAATACAACAAGCTAAATTATTTGTAAATTTTATACCAGTTTATAATCAAAGTTTATATTTTATAAATTTGTTAAATTCGTTAAATTATTTACTTTTTTTGCTATATGATTAACAAGTAGCATTATATCAAATAAAGTTTAGAAATAATAGTAACTTGGTAAATTATTGTAAAATCACTTTTTATATTTTTAAAAATATTAAAGTATTTAGGTATATTTGTGTTCGTGTAACGTTATGCAATATTTAATAAGAAAATTCAAATCTAAAGAGATCAAATATGTCTGGTTATTGTCCCGAATGTAATAAAAAATTCACAGGATATGAATGGTGCATGTCATGTATTGGAATTCACTTTCAACAAGATTTTGATAAATGGACAAGTGGAAATAATAAAATTGACGAATTTATACAAAAGTCTCAGCTTCAAGCTAAGAAATATAATGTATTAGAATGGATACCGTATACACAATTTCAAGATGTCAAATATATCGCTAAAGGAGGATATGGCACTGTGTATTC